GAAATGACAACAATTACAATTTAAATAATAGTAATAATAATCCTTGCATTTGGTATAGCGCCTTACAAGTCGGAAGGATGTCTCAAAGCACTTCACAGTATATACTGTAAAGTGAACGTGACAGCCGATTTACGCACAGCAATGTTCCACAAGCAGGCACGAATTGAATGAGAAAATTTTATCCGGGGGATTGTTGGCCAGGACACCGAGAAAAACTGCTTTCTCTTTTAAAATAGCGCCACGGGATCTTTAATGTCCAACAAGGCAGCTAGCTCACCACATCAGAGTGTCAGCTTAGACTATGTGAGTGTCAAATGCTGACACAGCTGAAAATGATATGGGCGCGTGGGGAGGGGGTTGAAGACAAAGTTGAACTAAAGGGCCGTGAAATAGGTAAGCATGACTTGATCAACAACGGTCATCAAAAATTTGTGCTTCCATTTGTGTTACTCTGAATCTTCATTGGATACACCTACAGTTACATTGCACTTATTGATGAAACTGATAATTGGAACAACATTTTTTCTAGGCATTCAATGTGTTTTTTTTTTAAAAAAACTGCTGCTCTTAACAGGAAAAACATGCGATGGAAAAAAAAAGGTTGGATTCTGCATTTATTTGGGAAAGGGCTGGGACGGGAAAGGACATAGGCTGCGGAGTTCTGAATAATGTGCAGGTTGTGGAGGGAAGAGTTGGGAAGTCCAGCAAGGAGTGAGTTAGCAAAGTCAAGCCTGGACGTGATGAATGCATGGATGAGGGTCTCGACTGCCTGATGGGGGAGGTAGTGGCAGAGGCTGGCAATGTGGGGTTTAAAATATATTTGAGGAATCTGCTTTTACTTAATTAATTACTTAATTGACTATCCGTTTCAGCCATACAGAGGAGATAACCATGTGAGAGGCTCTGGGTCACACGGTAAAGGTTTTGATTCTTATATCCCGGTTAGTTTGTGATCAAGGTGAGGTGAAGCACAGTTACACAAGCTGCTTTTCAGGTTGGTTCAGAACCTCCTCCCCCCTGCCCCCATAACATTAACAACTTAAACTACAAATAAAGTTCTGCGTTCTGTACATCTTTCAGAAGACGAGGTGGCAGGACTGCGGGGAATGTCTGAAGTTGATCTGCCGCCAAAGAATTGATAATCAGGAGCTATTTCAGAGGGTTCCACAGAGCGACACAGATCCATCACCAACAAAGGGAGAGTGGGGTGGGGGGAGTGATATAAGGATAAAGAATGAGATCTGACACACAGGAAGAGGAAGAGAGATAACCCAGCCACTCAGGGAATTCATGTCTTAAAGGGATAATGGTCCTGGGCAGTTATGGCAACTTGCAGATTGTTGGTCAGAGTCGTACAAAAGAGGAACCAGGGTTTAAAGAGCTCACCTGTGAAATTAAACATCTAACTCTCTTCCCCCCCACCTTCCTCCTTTACTCTATTTCACTACGTGAACCAAGGAAGGACCTATAGACACTGGTGGGTGTGAGGGTAAGTGGCCTGTCACACACACAGTAGTGCGATCCTGCTGCCTACATATTTTTCAAAGCAGCCTTTAACAAGCTGTTAATTATAGAGAGGACACTCAATACGTTGTTGCTTAAGACCAGTGTCCAAGCGAAAGAAGAACTAGACCTTTCACGTCTGCAAGCACAACAGAACCTGAGCGTTGCACTGATCTAATTTCATGACTGCTGTGTGCAGATGGCTGACAGTCACCAGCACTACTCTAATATCAAGTTGTTATATTTGAACTGAGACCTTCCATATCAGTACGCCAGGCCAGACTATCTGGAGTCATGTGAAATATTTTGGGAGTAGTATATTTAAATTGGGTCCAAAGGTTACTATATTTTAGCCGGCCCAACTTTGATTCACTTGATAAAACAAAGGGGATAGCCTAACAGTCTGTATATTCCAACAACCCGGGAAATGCCTCCTGCAAAACAAAACAAAAATGTTCAATGTAACTATCATGGGCAGAGAGCTATGAATTTGATCGGAGCCCAAAGAATTTTTTTTTTTTAAATTACATCCAAAAATCTGTTCTGTCACAATCAGTAGTGCAATCGAGTCCCAGGCCAGATGGGAAACTCAATAGGCATCATCTAGAAGTGGCTGATTTTAACAGCTAATTGAGTAATTAATTCAAAGCTGTGTCTTCATCGCACGTCAAGGCCGCTCTACAAGGCGAGAGAGAGAGAGAGCGAGAGAGACCCAGACGTTCTGTGGAATTCGGGCTGGGCTTCACAAAGTGGACGGCAACACTGGAATAACCGGGGGTGCGTTAATTGATGCGCGCCCTCCTGTTTCCGACTCACAAACCTCAACCTTCGTCTTTTACCGTTTGCCGACTTTCTCAGAAAGACCCGCAGCGAGCAGCAGTGAAACAAAGGGCATCGCTGGGCCCACCCCCACCCCCGCAGGCGGAAAGCAAGGGGGAATGGGGAAAAATGGGGAGGGGGGAGAGGGGGGGGTGGGTCACATCGGGGGAAATGCGTCTTAACATCTTAAAACAATCCAAGCAGAGGTGGTGCAATGAGTTGATGCTGCTCCTCACTTCCACATGGCAATTATCCTTTGTCTTGTCTTTGCTGTTAGTGGGCAGTAGCAGAGTCAGATTAGGTACATTTCTTCACAGCAAGAGAGGCAATAAATGGCCAGGCCAACTAGCCTGGGTCTAGCTCACATTCCCTCCAAACACCTGAATAAGTTCAAGGATGCCTGGCTTTGACGGGTCACCTACTAAATCTGAAGGCTGGGAATGCTTTTGACATCAATGCTGCGGTTATATAGCAGGAAGCCAAGCGGGAAATAAATGAATAATCCTTGCAATTGATGTGGCGCCTCTCATATCGGGAAAATATCTCAAGGCGCTTCACAGGATTGTACTGTAAAGTGGAGTGCCTTGTGTATTTTGTTGGGTAATGGTAGTTAACACACAGCAATCTCCCACAAACAGCCATGAAGTGAATGTCGGATTTTATTCGATGATTTGCTACCAATACCCAGAGTACAGGAAGCTGTCTCCTCCGCATGGCTTTCAATCTCGCCAGGGGAAAAACAACAGCAACCTTGTTAACGGTCTGCGCACGTGACCGGAGGCAGGTGTCTGTTTTAGTAACTATTGTTAAATGCCAGTCACGTAACTGGCAAAAAATACTGCAATTGGGCTTCACTGTCAGCCAAACCCAAATTGGCACAAGTGGCAGCGATACAGAAGGTGGCAGACTTCAATCCTCCTCCCCTCCCCCCACAGCAAGCTCAGCACCACCAGGGAGAGCTGCCCACATGAGCATCAGGTACTCAGACTCTGAGTTACAAAGCTCACTGAAATGAGCCATACAGCCCAACCAGTCCGTGGCTGGGGTCTATGCTCCACACAAGCCTCTAATACCCCTCCTAATGCCCCACTCATATACCTTTTTTTGCTTCTTTCACAATTTGTGACAGTGAGGAGCAGCTTTCTCACACTTGACTTCCTTGTTCCCACACAAACTTGGTGATGTTGATCTCCTTCCTATCCAGCATGGGCTTAATCAGGAACTCACAGGGAGAGGTGGACAGACCCTACATCAGTATTATAAAGCTTTGTTGCTGTGGCACACAGCCTTTCAAGAAAGAGATGCATTTAACTGTGTTAAATTATTATCCACTCTCCTGATAATAATTCCTCAAGAAAAGAAAAACAATAATAATTTGGTCACTCAATCCACGACTGTTTGTGGGACGCTGCTGTGCGCAATTGGCTTCCACGTTTCGCCCACAAATATACAGTCAATTCACTTTATAGTATATTCTGTGAATCGCTTTGGGACGACTCGAAGACGTGAAAAGCGCTACATCAAATGCAATTATTATTATAATATTGTTATTAAAATTAGATGATGATTGAACAGGCACGTTGTAAGTTGGGGTATTACTGTACGTACCTTAAAAAACACATACACTTCTCATTAGCATTCCTATGTACAATAGATCCCAATGCACTGGGTAAGATATTTTCAGTGCAGCGCAGCATTGAGCAGCGTCTCTGAACTCGGATGTGAGTTTCAACACCAGACAGAATGTTTAAATAGGGACGCGCCAGCGACACAATTAAAGATTCCAATGCGATGTTCTCAGTACGAGGGAAAAGGGGATTTTTCTGGTGCCGTGTGAAGCTAAATTGTTAGTCGATATCAATCTCACTGTAAACTAGATTTATCTGGAGGACGACAGTAAGTGACATAACCCGCATATTTTCAGAGCTCATGCATGTCTCCCCATTTCTGAGCAGTTACACAGATCCAGGAAGGCGCTTTTTTAAAGAAAATGATATATAAACATCACAATCACACACATGGTTCCCTGCTGGCTTGAGTCACATCTGGGAAATTCATGCACCTTGTGTAAATTGTTTACTGTAAATGATAGAAATCCATTAAAGCACCTAGTCTCTCTTGCTGTGATCAGTTTCTCATTATATGACTGACTACCGCTGTGAGAGTAAATTCTTGGGTCCAGAACATAACTTTACATTCAGCTTATCGACAAAAAGTTGCACCAAGTTTCAAAGAGCCTGCAGCTGGGATCACAGGTACAGGTTTTGTTCCCAAATCTGTCCTTATTACTGAAAACAGGTCTTATTTATGGGTATATTTTCACCAAAAACAAATTGGCAACAGGTCCCAGTAGCTGACAACCTTTATCTGCCCCCCCACCAACCCTTTTCCCTGGATTAAGATTTAAAACACTAAATAAGGTTTTGTTTGTTTGCAAGTTACAATTCCCGAAGTGCCCTCGCATCACGCACAGAGCAAACCAGTCACTACACGACAGTCAAGAGCATTTAGCCATCCATGTCAAGTTTATGAAACACAGGAAGGAAAAGGATAATGTGATGTTATTTTAATTGAAAGCAGTCTTTGGGAGCAGGTTACCGTGCAACTCCGCCAAGAAAACTAATTACCAGAATCCAATACAAAAAAAAGTTTGCTTCTCGCTCGTGAAATCAGCTTACCTTGTAATCCTGGCCACAAAGACTTCCGATAGCTTTCCTCCTGTAGACTCCACTGATTTGCTCTCGGGAACTAAGAATCTTTTGCTCCGAACTTGGGTCGAGGTGAATGTGTATGTGAGGGATCCCTACCTTTGAACGGTAACATTTAGGTTTGGAAGGATAACTGGAGAGCGGCTGACAAGGGCCTTCGAGAGAGTGACTCCTCTGAAAGACGGGTCGTTTCTTCTGCGTATTTACAAACTCCCTCCCTAGCTCTCCATTGACGGTGACCTGGCATTCCGAATGCCCGTACGAAGGTAAACATGCTGACGTGCTCCTGATTAACTTGACGGGATTGTGGCAAGTGGGTCCAGCATTCCCGGGGTACAGCTTGGCCTCCGGACACAACTCGGGAAGCCTGGGCCGTTCTTTGGTCTCTCTCCCCGGGCCTGGAGCTCGTGGCTGGTTGAAATACAGAACCAGACACGAATGTCGACGCGCCTTCTCCTGCTTGTCCGCCGCTGAGCTTGTCCCGCGCTGGTGCCCCTCGTGATGAAGTGGCCGGATGTCTCGAACCTCCCCGGGGGGGTGAGCGGGGCTGGACAGCCGCAGCCCGTTGACCGCAGTGGCCACGAAGCAGGGGCTGGCATCCCTGCCCCTGGGGGCCTCGGGCTCTTCGCCTGCCCCGGGCTCCTGGGCCGAGGCGGGGAAGCGGTTGGCTGGCGGGTTGGCCCCGCAGACGGGGTCCGGGCTGGTGGGGGTGGCCGGTGGTGTGCTACACGGGCTGTGGGGGAAGATGACCAGCGAGGTGCAGCGCCTCAGCGTGACCTTGGGTTTGCCGAGGGCGGGCGAGTCTCTGGGAATGGCCGGAGCCACACGGTCCTGCGGGTCCTGGTCAAGCGAGATGCTGCTGCTGCTACTGTGGCATGAGCTATCCTCGCTGCCGCTGCCCGCGCCGGTGCCCGCACCCGCGCCCGCCCGGCGAGACTGCAGCAGGATCTGCAGGGACGAGCTCTTGAGCCGCCGCTGCTCCTGGCCGTTGACCTGCGGTATAAAGAGCGACGAGCTCCGCCTCAGGCCGCAAGGGTCCCTCGGCAACGACGGGGTGACGGGCGCCTGCGCTGTCACTCGGGCCCCATCCTCTGCCGAGTTCACGGGGACGGTTTTTACGGTCATACGAATGTTGCTCTCCAAACCCTCCCCGGTCGTCTCCGACAGTGGGTCAGTGTTGCTGCGCCTGGTCGCGAAATGTAGTCGCAATCGACGAGCCATTTGTCTCTCTCTTTCTCTCTCTCTCGCTTTTAAAAAATATATACAATCGTTTTCGCTAAAAAAAAAGCAGGCGAAACGTGGTCCTGAGGTGGAATGGGTCTGAACTGAACTGGTAAAAAAAAAACTCACATGTTGCAGGGAGAGCTGAAGGCAATAATAAGCAGCTTCGGGGACTCTAGGATACAGTCGCCATCAGTTGCTGCAGATAAATAGAAGTAGCCGAAGTGATAACCAGCATTCCGATCATTACTGGACGAAAAGCTATTCGGCTGCAGAGTCAGAAGTGCCCACCGTCCCAGCAGCGAAAACCACGAGTGCAGGAATACCTCCCAAAAGTCCGAGGCACCATCAATATCTAGAACTGTTAAGAAATCGAGGCACGCTCCCTTTCGAGAGCAGTGAAATTTCAACAACCTTTATGAGGAGCTCAGCTGCTGTGCACTGTTTGAGTTCCAGCCAGTCTTGCTTCAATTAAACTTCTTTGATTTGCATGAAAGACTGAATCTAACCCAAAAACAACAATCTTCCTTCATTTCAGTTTCGTATACATTACTTCTCGCCTCACCGGGCAGGCTAAGTAAGTATGCGGCAGCACTCTACGTATTAAAAGCCTCTATCGGTTCTCCAACATCATATTTTTACCCCACAGTATTGAGTTACAGGAAGTTTAGAGGAAAGACATCTCGCACACTTCGGTATCAAAGGGTTTCCAACTAATACCCATGATATGAAATTTCTGGGATGAGGAAAATGCGCAGGAAGCTACCGCCAGTTATTCCAAGAGAGAACAGCTATATCGCATTTACAAATAAACGCGAATCCACCGGCTCTTTGATGGAACAAGGAGAGTCGAGAATCGATTCGTCATGGATCCTTAACTTTTTGAACTCGCTTTTGTTTTTTTTTTAAAAAAAAAACATTCAGTGCGTACGTAGAAAAAAAAAAAATCAGGAAAAATCGTTGTGCACTGAAATCCAGCCACTTAAGAGCAGCTTGTAAAGAAAAAAAATTAAAACAAAAACAAAACTATTATTAGTCTCCCACTGGACTGAAACACTAGATAGGACTTTTCAAGCCTGTTCAGTGTGGCTGACTGTGGAAAACCCTTTCTCCGCGTACACACACAGAAATGCCACATCCTCTGACATTTGAAACTCACAGTCTGTGCCAAGGGAGCTACATTCTTTTCTTCCCGAAGCTTCCCCCCCCACTCTCTATTCCCCCCGCCCCCAACTATCAGCTGCAGAGATTCAATAGTAATTTTTTTAAAAAATGCAAAGCAAGTTTCCCCCACCCACCACCAACGTATAGTTTACTGCACACAATTGCCCAACGACAACTTGTATCTATATTGCGTCTCTAACACAGGGAATCTCTGAAGCTTTTCAGAGACACGAATGATTTCCGTTCACAAACGTCAGAAAAGAGATTTGAACAACAAACCTCGTCATAATACCTTTCCCGCGCCCCCCCACCACCCCCCAAAAAAGACACCATTCAACAATCAACCACTACAATGCAGAAAACTGTCATTCAACTCAGCAAAAGCCATCAGGTACAATGTGTGGCATTTTCTCTGCAAAGCCACAGCAAGTGTTTGGATACTGTATAATGGGGCGTCTCAGTGTCCTGAGGGTTTGGAAGTGGATAGGCTACACAATGGAAAAATGTGCTGGTTTTAATCAAAATCTATAAGAACCACATCGATTTAACTCTTGTGTTTCTAACAGATGCCTTTTATAGAAATATTTCTTCCGCGGAGTCGAAGGGGAAAAGTTATTCTGAACTGGAAATAAAAATTAAAAAGGCCCTTTGAGCATTTCACTTTGCATTCCTGATAAAACAAAAACAACAAAAAAGGGGCCAACCTGACTGAAGAACTTTTCACAAACTACACAGGTACTGACTTTGTGTGGAATAAATGCTCGATTTACATTTTTATAGCAAAAAAAAAACTTTCATATGCACCTGGAAAGAACAATGTTCCTTTTATAGGGAAGAAAATCCACATTATGCATTTCGAGTCCAGAATTTTTCCTAAAGAGAGTTCCAGCCAACATCGCCAGCAAGAATTCATAACAGACCAGCTCTATTTTCCCAATCATTTTGCTGACCACGAGTGTTCACACTTACGCCAATATCTATGTTCTGACTTACTATTGCGGGTGGAGGAATAATTGGTTACGCTTCATAGGTAATACAGAAATAATTGATGTGCCCACTCCAATTCTCTCACCTCTCCTCAAGACAAGAGGTAAGATTCAGTGCGGTTCCAACACACAAGTTGTCCAGGTTTCACTTCAACACTGTGTGTAACTTGGCTGATGTGCCCGCTTAACAAGAAATCCCTGCACCTATAATAAAATGCTTGGTGATGTCCATTTATATCAGAATAGCCATTCTTTACGTGATCAAATACTAATCCTTGCATTGTGTCGGGAGGACGTCTCAAAGCGCGACGCAATAAATCTGTTCATTTACAAACGCACAGTCACTGTACTCCTGTAGTGACTGCGCATTTGTAAATGATATGATCCGGAGATTATTAGACCACGTAGGGAATGAGTCAATCGCAATAACCGAATCCACTCGTCACCCATACACAGGCATTTCCCCCCCAGAGCTGTTGGATTGCAATCAGAAATGAGAGCCCTGGAAAACAGTAATCCCCCCCCCACCCCGAGCCCTGCCCAGTTATGATCAACCGACTCAAGTTGCAGCGATCAAACTTCTCGTGTGCTGACTGAACTTCCAGTTGACCTTAAGCTGAGCGCCTTTGGCAACATCAGCTGCTGAAGGGCTTTCCCAGTCAAAAATCGGGCATCGCCAGAGTCAGTCGCTACGCAAAACACCGACCGGAATTTCAGACTGACAGTCGGAATGAGTGGATTTCATTCTCGGTGGTGTCCTCACCAGAACACAGTCATGTTCCTCTGCTTAAGATATTGTTATGTTGTCTTTGTCTATTCCACCCCCCACCCCCTGAACACATTTGACTGCCAACTTGTCAAATTGAAAGCTTAAAAGACTAGTCAATGACATGGGAGAAAAATTGTGCAAAGGCACAGAACATCACGGTCCACAGGAGGACTGGAACACACAACACGTTGACATTTGACACGGGAGATCAGTGCACTGGAAGCTCATTTCACCTGCAAATCCCACCGAGCAAACTCCCAATTTCGAACAGTTCTGTGTGCAGGAAGACGCCAAGCTGAAGCCAGCCACGCACTTCACCACAGTAAGAGAAAGGGAAATCAGAGGAGGCATCAATCTTGCACACTGCCTTACAGCAAGACAGTCATTGATCCATGAGTCTCCAACCCATTCCTCCAGCTGGAGAAGTTACAAGGACGCACAGAGTCAGCAAGAAATGAAACTGAGGAGATTGTTAACCGGGAGACATTGCTGCTTTAAGCAGAAGCACGCTCCTCTTTGGTGGAATCATTCATTTCAACAGGTCTCTGCCAAGAGTTTTGAACCATATACAGAAATACAAGTGGTAACACTGCATAGCTTCCCATTGGCTTCTCAATCCTACTGAACTGACTTCACTGCAGCTACTGTCCGTGGAATGTCAGCTCGAAAACATATTCGCCCGTATGATTTATTAGTCGAACTTCGTGCTGTACAACAGCTACAGAACATAAGCCAGCTAGGTCATCCAACCCAGAATATACCACAAGGAGGTGAAACAATGGCATCTCTCTCTTCCAAATAGACAACAAAACACAAGCTGGATTTCTGCACTATGTCACAGCACATGATCACGCTTCCAACATACCTACAGCCCCTGATTTCACTCTAAAAATAATCCTGATTGATGTGAATCATCCTCAGAATGAGGCACTTACCAAGCGGTTTTCATCAAACACTTCAAAGAGGAGTCGGTGTTGCTTTGGGTGAACCTGGCGGAACAAAGGCAAAAAAAACATTTAAAAACACTAGCAAATCGTTCCTGTATCTGCTGTAACTTCATGCAATCAAAAATCATAGCGTATACATTGCAGGTTTATGTTTTTCTTTCTGCATTGTTAAACCTGCAGGATTCCTGGTGGACAATTCAGTAACTATTTCAAAACTGGCTTTGCATTTTCTTCACAAATCGGTGTAGCAACTTTTTCGGGTAACAGTGCCACTGGGTACCATCTACCGTTCAGACATTTAACTGGCAGCGAGCAGTTAAATC